ATACTTCATACCGAAAATTCCGATTTAAAAGTTTGAAATTTTGATGAAAATTTTATAAAGTTTGATTCATTTTTATAAATTGTGTACAAAGTTTGCAAGAATTATTTATACGGTTTTTGTTATAGAATGAGCTATATTTTAAATGGAAATTAACGAAAAAGATTTATGATGGAAAGCATTATGAATATTGTGAAAAAACTAAATTATGGATACTTCTGTGAGTGACTGTATGTATATATGCAGTGCGAGTTTATTTGTTATTTAACCTTAATAGTAAAATAGTTTCGGTCAAATCATCACTTAAATTTGACCTGCTGACGGTTCTGTAACTTTGCGATGAATAACGAATGATTTGTTATCGCAAGGCTCGTATCGAAATCGTTATGAAAAGGATTTCCATGGAAACACAATGCCGGCGAACTCACCACAGCGAAATTTCCTCTGTCAAAATGAGAACACCCGCCGGCATATGAAATTGAACAAAGCGAAATGCGAAGTTTACTCGGCGGCGTTTCGCGGCGATAGATTTATTTCTATCGCTCTGCTGGGCGATGGCGGCAGTAAATGCCAAAGGTGGCCGTACGTTTTTTTTTTTGCTTTCAAAGTTTTAGAAGAAAACAACAATAACACGAATTATTTTTGTTGGATGAAAAATACAGTGATCGATTCGTTAAATCTGGCTTAAAATAAAATAATTTATAATAATTCCCCCTTGCCTTATATTTCTATTTGTTATCATTTCATCATTTCTAAATATGGTTGCGTTTTTTAAAATATGGTCACTTAAATTATAAGTGCGACGAAATGGTATCAGCTGCTTTCGCTACCGCTCTAATTCTGTTAAAGTGGGCGAATTAGCAGGGCGAACGGTGAGCGACGGCATCGCCCAATTCGGCGAACTTCGCCGGTCGCCGGATATTGTGTTTCAATCATTTCTGTAACTCAAAAAATTCACCTTGCGATATGGCTGTTGTGAGTTGTTAACATATCGATGGTACGACTGGAATGAAACGAACCATATGTAATTTCTGGCGCGAAGTTGTTTTGTATACATTAAATAGAAGTTTAATAAGTGCAATATTTATTATAAACCCGCCATTTGTTTGCACATATTTTGATTAATTAACAAGTATGAGCTAATATACCCATATTTATGCATACATACATACATACATACATATATCACGATTAAGGAAAATAGAGATTGCGCCCATCGTAGTACCGCTAATCCGCTCTATGTGAATTTGACAGAACAGCTGTGTGCGCGACGTCATCTTGGTGCAATTGTTGATTGAGGAAAACCAAATAACGATTTAACTGGGTACGGTTTAGTTATTTGCCCAATGATTTTGAGCTATTGTGTTCGAAAGGTAACCCGATCAAAAAAATTTTACACACTTGTAGACAAAGGCCTACACTTTATTGTAAACCCTAATTTGATAATTTGCGGTCACTAATTTATTAATAAATTCGGTCTGAAAAATGCACTTTTTTGTGAATTTCGGAGTGAGTTATACGCAAATATACTGTGGATGACGTAGCCATAAAAATGTTGAATACCTTTGATAACAGAAAGTTGTTCTGCACAAAAATACGGTTTATCAAGTTAACATTTCCGGTGTTAAAATGCCAATTTTAGACCATTTTCCAATGGTTCCCCAGGGGTATTTGGAAGCTTTTAAAGGATCAGGTGTGACTTTTCACAAAGTTTGGACTATGCCCTTTCTAGTGGGTTAGATGTCAACACCCATGCCCCCTCCCATTCAGCCCACTAACCCAAAAACAGTGGGCAAATAACTAAACATTCCCAATTTAACTATTTGTCTTTTATTTTTTTTTGGCGTTGTGGTAGCGCACTACCCTCAAGTGACCCTTTGAAACCAGGATAAGTCTGTTGTTTCCGTCGAGTTCCGCTCCCCCCGGGACTGCCGCCAAGCCTTTCAAGAGCCCTCAATCTTTTCATCGTTTCGGCGATTGCGTCGCATGCTAATCTCAATTTTTCACTGCTTTCCAGCATGTTACGTACGAACGATTCGGGGGAGTAGTTTCCTCCAAATACGCGGCGAGTCTTCCGTCTTGTGTCCTCAAAACGGGCACATTCGAAGAACACATGGTATACGTATTCTATAGCCTCCCCTCCGCAGTGGTCGCATATACGATCAGATTCGCGTTTAAACCGGTAAAGGTACGCCTTAAAGCACCCGTGACCAGCTAAGAACTGAGGTAGATAGAAGTCTACTCGCCGTTCGTTCTGTCAAGCCAGCGTTTTAAATCCGGGATACAGCGGTACGTCCAGCGGCCGCTTGGTGAGTTGTCCCACCTTTGCTGCCAGGCATGCCTACTGGCATCCCTTGCCGCGTCAGTATATCGATGGGGTACATTTCAGCGACAACCAATGCTGCTTCGTCGGAGACTGTTTTGAACGCGCAGCATACTCGAAGTGCACATAATCTGTAGGTTGACCTCACCCCGCGGAAGTACGAAGAGTATTGCGATGCGTTGTGCCAAACAGGCGCCCCATACAGCAATTGGCTCTCTACAACACTTGCGAGCAGCTACCGTCGGCGCTGCTTTGGCCCGCCCATGTTTAGCATTATCCTCGATAAAGCTGCCACTGTCGTAGAGGCTTTTTTATTGGCGTATTCAAGGTGGGTTTTGAATGACAGCCTCTTATCGACCATAATCCCAAGGTACTTGACATGGGACTGAGTAGTGACGCTGTTCTTGTCAATTTGTATGATGACCGCTTCTAATTTTTTTCTTCTGGAGATAAGTACCGGCTCCGTTTTCTGCTCCGCAAGCTTAAGACCATTTTTATAAAGCCACGATTGTACGACTTCAATGGCTTTATTGCCTTTCTCGCAAATTTCGTTTAAGTGTTTCGCAGTAACCACTATCGCGATGTCATCCGCAAAACCAATTACCTCTGTCGCTTTGGGTACATAATGTTCCAAAGCAAAGGACCAAGCACAGAGCCTTCAGGGACTCCACTTGAGATTTTTTGATTTGTAATACCTCCCGAGGTTTCGTGCTGCAGCCAGCGGTCTTCGAAGTAGCTTCGTATGAGCCTTCTGAGGTACAAAGGTACACTGATATGATCCAGTGCGTCTAGGGTTTTTGCCCAGTTCGCCGAATTAAATGCATTTTTAATGTCGAGGGTTAATACTTAGTAATATTCTTTGGAACCTCCGAGCCAACGCGAGCCACTTATTGCGTCGCGTGCCGCTGGGTAACAAAGTTTACTGCGTGAATGGAGATCTTCCTTTTCGGAAGCCAAACTGGTTATCCGATATACCTTCTTTAGCTTGGATTTCGTTTTCGAGACGGTTGCATATAACACGCTCAAGGACTTTTACCGCCGAGTCGAGCAGACATATGGGCCTGTAACTCGAAGGTTCCGTTAGAGGTTTACCGGGTTTAGGCAGCAGTATTAAGATTTGCTTCTTCCAGACTAGTGGAAATGTTCCCTCGGCTAGGCATCCGTTAAATAAGTCCGTGAACGACGATACAAAATTGGTGGTCGCCAGTTTCAGAACTAAATTAGGAACCCCGTCTGGGCCGGGAGACTTATTATCCTCTAGTCTTTTTGCAGCTTGGAGAACTTCGTCGTTGGTGACCTCATCAAATGAGTTTAAGAGCTCCCTTGAAGTAGAGGAAACCAGTCTCCTCTGATCGGAAAAAAGTGTGTTTACCACGGTTTTGAAGAACATTGGGCATGTTGGGATGGCATCCTTTGCGACGTGAAGTTTTTTCATCGAAATTTTGTATGCTGATCCCCAAGGATTTTTCTCAGCGTCGTCGCAAAACTTGAGAAAGCATTGACGCTTGCTATCTTTTATTGGCAACACAGATCGGAGCTACTATAAACAGCTACTTAGCCCCTACAGAACCTGAATGTACCGAGGATCTAGAAAAAATGGTCAACGCATTTGCCTCGACCAGCTCAGAGGCCCTAGGTCAGGCGTGCCCTGATCCTAAGCCGCGGGGTAAATATAAACCACACTGGTTGTCGCTGGAGTTAGACCCGCTTCGCAAATCTTGCAGGAAGCAATTCAATGCCGCCAAAAGGCTTAGCTGTGAGCTCGAATGGCAGGAGTACAAGCGGTTACTCCGGGCCTATAAAAAAGCTCTGAGGGAAGCAAAGAGATCTTCCTGGAGGGTTTTTTGTAGTGGCATCGAAGGTGTTTCCGAAGCTGCCGGGCTGCGAAAAATTATCTCCAGATCTCCCAACCCGATGGGCTTCTTACAAAAGCATGATGGATCCTGGACCTCCACGGTAAAGAAAACCCTTGAGCTACTCATAGATACCCACCTTCCTTGGAACATAGTTGTAGGGGAAAACTCCCCTTCTGTAACATCTTCCTACGCAGTGAACATACCCATCTCGGAAGAATGAGTCAGATGGGCAATACAAAGTTTTAAACCATATAAAACTGCAGGACCAGATGGTTTAATACCTGCACAATTAATTAAGAAACTGGATGTGTCTGCAAAATGGCTCATAAGTGTTTTCAAGGTCTGTTTCAAGTTTAATCACATACCGCTGGCATGGAGAAATGTTACAGTCGTCTTTATTCCAAAGGCCGGAAAAGGCCTCACATACTAACCCGCAGGATCTTGGGCCCATCAGCTTGTCCTCCTTTGCTCTTAAGACACTTGAAAGGATTGTTAGCAGCTTCCTTTCTGACACCATAGACAGTCGTCTATTGTCTGATAACCAACATGCGTACCGTAAAGGTAAATCGACGGAGACCGCACTTCATAATCTGGTCGCCTATATCGAGAAGTCCTTCAGCGTTAAGGACTTCTGTCTCGCAGCCTTCTTGGATATTGAAGGCGCTTTCAACAACGTACTTCCGGAGGTTATTACTGACGCCCTTGCAGTCGCCGGAGGTTGTTGCATACGCCGACGACATTGCAATCGCTTTCAGTGGAAAGCTGCCGCACACGCTATGCGAGCTGATGCAGCGAACGCTTCGGGATGTATCCAAGTGGTCTACCCGCTGTGGCCTGAGCGTCAGCTCAAGCAAAGCGGAGCTCTTCCTCTTCAAGAGAAGGTATAAAATGTCTTCCGTCACTCCACCGGAGCTAAACGGCGTCCGGTTAAGTCTCTCTACACAAGCCAAATTTCTTGGCGTTATCTTAGATAAGAAGCTGTGCTGGAGGGATAATATGATTCAGCGTTATGAGTAGGCTTCCGTTGCCCTCTATACTTGTAAAAGGGCCATAGGCAAGAGATGGGGCCTCAGTCGCCGGATCTGTCGATGGATATTTATAGCGGTCGTCAGACCAATCCTCCTGTATGGAGTGATCGTGTGGTGGCCTGCGTTAGATAAAGAGGTCAACCTCAGGCTTCTCACCAAGGTGCAAATGTCAAGTATGATCTGCATAAGCGGAGCGCTCAGAACCACGCCAAACGATGCTCTGAACATATTCTGGATCTTCTGCCACTATATTTGGAAGAGGAGGAAAACGGTCTTGCATCTCTTGTGTAAATGCCCTGCAATGTGCAGAAGCAGGCTGCGTCATCTGGGTTCACCATTCCTGGCCGACCTTAGGAAGGTTTCAAATACCGATGCGAGGTGCGTGATGAGATTCATCAGCGACACGAAGGGGTTCAATGGGGAGGATAATTGAACGGTGTCAACTGTGGTAACACAATGGGCCTTCTATCTATGGCCTAAGTGTGCCGCTAGGGTGGCAGCCACTTCTTCCTATCTACCTACCTAAGTACGTGTCTAGCCGCTTTGTATCTCTCTCTGTACTCCGCGAACTGGGCCCTTCCTCTTGGAAACGCCTTCTCATCTTGATGCACTCAGCTATCAGCATTTGTATGCGGTCGTTCCACCAAAATACAGCACGTTGTTGCTTCGGTGTTGACTTCCGTACCATTGCTGCATCGCAAGCTACTCGTATATTAGCCATTAGCTGGGAGGCCATTACATTCGCTGATCCTGCATACTGTGTTGGTCTCATCATCTCATTGATAACTTCGACGTCTAGGGTGTTAGGTTTCCATCCGCGGCGTTTTTGGCACGGTTGTTTATTACGTAATCTGCGCCCATTCAAATTAATATCGCAGATGATTGCTGAGTGGTCGCTTTGAGTATAACACTCACTCACTTTCCATTCGGAGAGCGTATACAAATTTGCGCTGACGAATGTGATATCTATGATTGACCCGTAGCCGTTTCTGTAAAATGTGTATTCCGCTCAAGTGTTTAGCAGGGCCACATCCAGGAATGCGAATGCTTCAAGCAGAGATCTACGCTTCGGGCTAGTACGCTTAGAGCCCCACTCTATCGCCCAGGCATTAAAGTCTCCCGCAATAATAAAGTGCTGTCTGGTGTTAGCATCCATGACGATTTTCTGAATGATCTCTTCGAAATCATCTAAAGGCGTGCTTGGTGGTATGTAGCAGCTGTAGATGTATATGCCATCTACATTTCTACAGACGAAGCCGCGTTCTTGGGTTATGCGTTCCATATACGCGGGATGTGTACCGCATGTCCAAATTGCAGCTTTTCCGCTGGAGTCTTGCGTCCAGTTAGGTTAGGTAGGCGGGCTGCCTCCGCATGTGGAGGCACACTTGGACTCGACTGAGCTGTCCGTTGTGATGCCCTCAGAGGGGGAGGGAAAAGGGATGCAGGGAGGGTAGGGGAAAGAGGGAGGAAGCTATGGGGGAAAGACGACACCTATGGCTTTTTGCCGCAGAAACGCTCCGTGCTCACAACGAAGCTCTTCAGTCGACTGATGTCCACTCCCGAGAGCTCATCGGGAGTGTGAAAGAAGTGCGACCCAAGGTGTTTAAACCTTAGGCTCGCAAAGGCGGGGCACCAGAGCAGCAGATGTTGAGATGATTCCACCTCGTCATCCTCCATGCAGCTGGTGCAGTAAGGGTTATCCGCAACGTTCAGCCTTACAGCATGGTTACCAATCACACAGTGACCGGTAAGCACTCCCACCAATAGTGAGAGATGCAGCTTGTTTAGTCTCAAGAGCTCCCCAGACCGCCCCCGGTCCACCCGTGGCCAGAAAGACTTAGCCACCTTGCACTTCAAGGTCTTCGCCCAGCGCTCGCTGAGCTGACTAAACGCCCATCTGTCCAGAAGCAGACCACACGAGGTCAGGGGAGCCCCCAGACCCTCCCTATCCGAAAGTAATTCCTCGAGGGTTCCCTGCCTTGCAAGCTCATCAGCCATGCAGTTGCCAGCGATTTCGCTGTGCCCTGGAACCCAAATAAGCTTAATAGCAAAGTAATCAGACGCGGTCGATAGGGAAGTCAAACACTCCCTCGCCGTTTTCGAGNCAGCGATTTCGCTGTGCCCTGGAACCCAAATAAGCTTAATAGCAAAGTAATCAGACGCGGTCGATAGGGAAGTCAAACACTCCCTCACCGTTTTCGAACGCACCGTCAGGGAGCCAAGAGCCCTAATGGCTGCTTGGCTGTCAGAATAAATATTTACCTCCTTAACAGATGTTACACTAGAGAGCAACCAATCCGAAGCCTCTTTTATCGCGGCCACCTCAGCCTGGAAAACACTACAGTGATCAGGTAGCCAATATTTCAGGTTGGTGGAGAGCTCTTCGCAGAAGACACCTCCGCCAACCTTCCCATCCAGCTTCGATCCATCTGTAAATAAGTTCACAGGTCCTTGATTCCAGATACTGCACCCCTCCCAATCTCCCCTCGCCGGGATGTGGGTGGTAAAAGATCCATTCGGACCCAGAACCGGCGTGCAGTGGTCTGTCCGAGCCGGTAGGAACCCGAAGTCTCTTAGAATTCTGGAGTGCCCATAGCTTGAGGTGAACTTAGCCTTACTGCGGCACGCGCAGCGGCAACCCTGCCAGCTATATCTATAGGCACAACATTTAACATGGCATTAAGCGCAAGAGTAGGTGTGGTTTGAAGTGCAACACTGATTCCAATTAAGGCAGCTCTTTGCACATTCTCCAGCTGCTTGACGATGTAGGCCTTGTCGAGTGCGTTCCACCAGACGAGTACCCCATATAATAAGATTGGCTTGATAATAGTTTCATAAAGCCAATGCACTACCTTCGGCGAAAGACCCCAGCGCTTGCCAATGGCCCCTCTGCAACAATACAGTGCTACTGTAGCCTTCTTGACTCTTTCCTCCACGTTAGACCTCCAGGAAAGCTTACTGTCAAGGATCAAGCCCAAGTACTTCACCCTGTCAGAGAGCCTTAGAGGAAGACCACCCATTGAGGGAAGACGGCAATTCGGTATCTTATACCTTCTAGTAAAGAGAACAAGCTCCGTTTTGCTGGGATTTACACCCAGCCCGCAGCTAAACGCCCAGTTCTCAACTAAGCTCAAGTAACTCAGCTCAATCATCGGCATAGGCAACTACCCGACAGCCACTTCTTTTCAGAGACACCAGCAGGTCATTGATTACAACGACCCAAAGCAACGGCGAGAGAACTCCCCCTTGCGGGGTACCTCTACTCACACTCCTCCGGATAGAAGCGCTGCCCCACTCTGCCGCAACAGTTCTATTGCAAAGCAAGCGGTAAATAAAACTAGCTTATTTAGGGAGTTAACTACAGCCTCAGGCAAAACATTTTTAAAAGCCCCCTCGATATAAAGGAAGGCACCGACCGCAAACTCATTCTGCGAGAAGGATTGCTCAATATTTTCAACGACCGTGTGTAAGGCCGTTTCGACAGACTTGCCCTTGCAATAAGCATGCTGATCCAAGGAAAGGCGCTTCCTGAGGATCCCGCTCATTAAATGCGGATCGATCAGCCTCTCCAGCGTCTTCAAAAGAAACGAGGAGAGACTTATCGGCCTGTAATCCCTAANAGCATGCTGATCCAAGGAAAGGCGCTCCCTGAGGATCCCGCTCCTTAAATGCAGATCGATCAGCCTCTCCAGCGTCTTCAAAAGAAACGAGGAGAGACTTATCGACCTGAAATCCCTAGGTGATACATGAGAGGCTTTACCTGCCTTGGGAATGAATACCACTCTGACCACCCTCCAAGGCACCGGAACATGACCGTTAGCCAAACAGCCCTCGAAAATGGGCATCAACCAGCGGCACGACACTTCTGCAGACTTCTGCAGTTGGGCCGGTATTATGCCATCGGGGCCTGGGGCCTTAAAGGGCTTGAACGATCTAATGGCCCACAGAAGGCGATCAACGGTTAGGATTTCCGAGATATTCGTCTCGGGGATCGACGTCCCCAAACGCATCCCCCCCGGATCTGGGTTGCAGGGGAAATGAGCATCAAGGAGCATCCGAACAGACTCCTCGCTAATCATTGCCCATCCGCCACCTNGGAAATGAGCATCAAGGAGCATCCGAAGAGACTCCTCGCTGATCATTGCCCATCCGCCACCTTCGTCCCTGATGTATCCCAGGGGAGCGGGATTCTCAGAGAGAACTCGCCTAAACCTTGAACACTCCTGACTGCCCTCCACGCTTTCGCAGAACAGTCTCCACGACGCCCTCTTCGCTTTCCTAATCTCGGACTTATATGTCCCAAGCCCAATCTTATACAGTGCCCAGTCGGAGGCTAATTTACTCTTCCTGTCCCTATTGAAAAGGCCTCTGCTCGAGGCCCTAACATCGGAGAGCTCTTCCGACCACCAGAGCGGTTTGCTCTTACCTTTGTGGTAACTCAGGGGACAAGACATATCAATGGCCCTTTTACATGAGGTGGTGAACACACCAATTAATTCGTCAATTTCGCTTTCAGTCCAGGTCCCGCCCCTCACGGGCGCAACCGGAAGCATTTCCTGCAGACTTCTGCAGTATGAGTCCCAGTTGGTTCTCCTCAGATTCCTGTAAGGTTTGTGCTTAGGACGCGCTTCGTCCAAAGCAAATTGTATGTACCGATGATCGGAGAAGGAGTGGTCACTAAGGACTCTCCAGCCAGATATACGGGACATTATATTAGAAGAGGCCAGCGTGATATCTAAAACCTCTTCCCTAGTTGCCGTTACAAAAGTGGGGTCGCTCCCCCTATTACATATACATAAATTTTCATTTAGAATAAAGATAAAGAGTGACTCACCTCTAGTGTTGATGTCTGAGCTGCCCCAAATCGTATGGTGGGAATTCGCGTCAGACCCAATAACAGCGCGGACCCTCCTGCGTCTAGCTTCTGCCACCGCATCCCTTATTAAGCGCGGAGGTGGCTCCACCCCGTCCTCGTGCGCCATATACGCAGAGATCAACCAGAGTTCTCCGGTTGCACCCTCCAGGCTCACCGTCACAATGTCACCATCGCTGAAAAGAGGCAGAATAAAAGCATTAAGTTCCTTCCTGATGAGCATGCAGGATCGAGGTCTACCTGCGTCCTGCACCACCAGTCTGTAGTCCCTCGTCCCGATACCAGGAACCTTATTGCAGCTGCTCAGCCACGGCTCCTGGATCAGGACTACATCAACTCCACCTTGCTCAAGGCGGATTAAGAGGTTGGCTGACGCCGCCTTAGAGTGCTGAAGATTGATCTGAAGAATATTCATCCTCCGAAATCCTCTCCAACCTCCCTCCGCAGGCGCCATCCCCATCGGACGCAAGGAGCATTTCCTCCTCCGCCCTGACCGATCCCGCAGTTGAGGGAGGGCAGCCTTTCTTTCACTGTCCGACATGACGGATTCGACCTCCATACCTACGGGGACATCCTCCGCATTCGTATTCTCGCCCGCCAGCGCAACCGGAACAGGCTCGTCATATACCCTGGAGTCGGTCTGGTAGACCTTCATGACTACCTTCTCGAAGCCATAGTAAATGACTCCCTGTTTTCCGGCGAGAGACTTGAGAGATTCCGTGTTCAGCAACATCAGCGCTTGCCGGGAGTCACCGTCGGAACTCTCAAACCGGATTGCCTTCCAGTTGTGCGCTGGAAGGTCCAGGTTGCAGTAACGGAAGATGTCTTCCACCTCCCTCAGCGAGGAAGGTGCCGAGGGAAGCCAGACCCGAGCACGCGGACGCGAGGGAAGGTCCACCTTGCCCACAACCTCGAGTCTGGCTCCCTTCCATACCTCCCCGACCAACGCTACTGCCGCCCTGTAGAGCGAGGCCGACCGCTCGTCGGCGCACACCACCTTCTTAAACATACCCTGGTGCCAACCGGCACTCTCGCACCGCGGCGGTGGCCCCGGGTTTTCCTTGATCACCCTCATAAAAACTCCTGATAAGGCCGACGAAACCTTCCTCCAGTCTTCCCTGGCGATGGCCCCGTCCTCCTTACCCCGACCCAAAAACGCCCAGAGGGATAGAGCCCGCCTGTTTAGCGATCTCGCTAAAGAGCTTAGGCGTCCTTCCCGCTCTGGGCTCCTTGGAGAGGGGGGTTTCCCCCTCCTGCGATCTCTGCCGCTTGACAGGGTTAGTACGGGATGCACTCGCATCCCCAGGAGCACCACAGCTCTCCTGGCCGTCGCTTAGCACCCCCCTGGCCCACTCGAGCGATCGCGCGTGTTGCTCAGATAGCTGCGCAGCACCCTGCTCACCGTAGCGCGCCAGGATCTTGGTAGCCATGCGACGGTCATCGCGTGCTTTCCTGGCCGGCCCAGCGTGCCCTTTAGGCCTGACGGGGGGATTTCCCCCAGATTTATCCGCAAGTCCTTGGCTGGTACGGGCCACACAGTCCATTGCCCTTACGCCCAGAGCCGCAGACGATTTCATCTGCGGCCCTGCCTCCGTCCTGCACGCAAGCGAATTCGCCCGCGCCCCTAACCCCGAGTCTAGGTGCGGTGGGTTCCCACCGGCACCAACAGAGACGAGTGCAGACGAAGGGGTCGGCTCCGACCCCTTACTGCACCCTGCAGCAGCAGCTGCCCCACCCTGCCCACGAGTCGATTCCGCCTCGTTTAAAGAGGAGCGGAAGAGAGGGATCGCTTTCGAATCCCCTCCACCGCTCGCAGTTTTGTCCGTAGACATAGGTTTTTGGTTTTGTTTTTGTTTTTATTTGTTTGTGTCCATCTTGTTCGTACGACCACCTACCCGACGAGGCAGGCACAGTGGTCTAGGTCATAAAAGGGGAATTCAAACGGTCCACTACGGCAGCGCCCCATGCCGCAGCAAGGCCACCGTTACTCGCTGAGGCGGCCCGGTGTCAGGAGGGCGCCGTTAAAATACAGTGGGTCTGGTAAACCCCCTGGCTGCAAACCTTCCAATGGGCACGGTGTCGCTTAACACCCTGGATTAGGGGGTCGGCAGTTCTTGGTCACCGCTCACAAGCAGCCCGAACCATAGGAAATGGAGTGCATTCGCACAGTACCCGGAGGTAGAGACACGATTACACTACCACCCGATGATAAGGTCTGGTCGTGATTCGACTAAGCCCCCGCACCAACGACAAGGTGCCTGCCCTGCGTCCAGTTACCAGACTGAACTTTCTACGGCTCACTTAGTAAAGCTACGTCAGCCTTTAGCTCCTCTACAGTTTGCGACAAAAGATCTTGTGCGGCTTCGCAGTGATTGAGGTTAAATTGTATTAATCGCAAAGCTGTTTTAATTTATCCAGTGATATACCGGGCACTTGGCGCCCCCAGTATAGTGGCCCGCGCGACCGGTTCTTCTTTTAGCACACAGTATGCATTTTGGAGTGTTAGTGCATGACTTCGCTATATGACCTGCTTCCCCGCAATTAAAACACGTGCTCCTGTAGTCGTTTCCTCCAGTGCAGTTGCGCGATATGTGACCGTAACCGAGACACTTGAAGCAGCGTCGGGGTTGCATTTTCTCGCGAATGCGGCATATTACCCCGCCGATGCGAACTTTGCCGACTCCTATTATTTTTTTTGCTACTACCGAAGGCAATGAAATATTTGCGGTCTGAGTACCGCCATATGCTTTCCGTAGTGACCGTATATTCGACGGATTTACTACGAAGTCAGGGAGCTGGGAGCTCAACGCTAAGCATACCTCTTCCTTCGTGGTTATCTCATCTATATCGCGAACATCTACCAGTGATTCTTGGGTCAGTGATTTAACTTCCGATTTGCCTGTAAGCAGTTGACCAATCGCTGCCTTCAATTACGCCGTATTCGCATCTGACGATTTGGTAAGTTGGAAAAGGAGTTCCCCGCTTGCAGTTTTACGTACTTTTCGAACCATTGTGTTCATCTCTTTCAGGGCACCTTCACTCTTGACCGCCTTTAAGATGTCAGCGTATGTACATTCGCCCGTGCTTTTAACGACGATGGCATCTGGGCGGGCTGGTTTATTTTTAGGGCGCTTCTTCTTCGTTACTGTTGTCCACGCGCCATTGTCATCCGCTGCTTTCCCACCATCACTGGCGGCTGCTTTGGCAGGACCATCGCTGACGTGGGGGCCACTTTTTTTGGTTCTCCTTATGCCTTTTGGGGATGATTTGTGGGGGTGTCGTATCCCCAGGGACTTGCTCCCGGGTGCGCTTCGTCGATTGTAGCTTTGCTATCTGCCTCAGGGATGGGGTTCTCTGAGACTGCTTCGTGTCTTTTTCGGTGATATGAGCTTCGTTCATTTGCTCCACTACTTGATCGTATGAAACCGTAATCGCCTTGACCAAGTCCCTGAAGTTTTGGTTAATAGAGCGCTTACCACTACCAATGACTTCCTTCAGATCATTTATGAGCCTTCCGAGAGTAAGAAAAGCATTATCGTCAATGCCATCGTCCTCGGTGCTCTGGTTTGTTGCCGGAAAAGATGAAGACGACGCACTAACTGCCTCAATAGCTGGTGGTGCCGAACGTGTGGGAGAATGCGCTAATCTCGAACGCTTCTCGAAGGGATTCAATACATCCTTTATGATCTCATCAGATCTTGTATTTTGCGGAGTATTCTCCATTTCAGAGTCATTTGAGGCACCCGCTACCGCGTTTCCGCCAAACGCCAGCAAAGCCTCTGTTTTATCCAAGACACTGATGCTTGTAGTCCAAACACTTTTCTTGTAGCCAAGACACACACCCTAAGCATACGATAGTAAAATGCAACCCTAGAGTTCCACAGCTGTTTAGTGGGCTTTTAAAGTTTCTCGGCGCGCGCAAAACTTTTGATGATATTGCACGAAAACAAATTTTGCTAATTTTCGAGTAATAAATTCCGAGTTTCTCGGACTGTGTCCCAGGTAACGAAATTGTTAGACAAACAAACGATTCACTACATTTTCGCACTTTCGACTGTTATTTACTTCCGACAGAACGTTCAAAATTAACATGTATAGAAGGTTCTGAGCTAAGAGCCCTCTTTACCGCGTCCGACCGCAACAACACTCAACAACATATGTTAATACTTTTGCGTAGTTTTACACAATTATTGAAACATTACAAGGCAAAACGAAGTCGGCAGTGGCAAATAAACAAAAGGCAAGCGTGCGTTATATATATACATATCTACATACCTATAGCTTCATGCATTTTTCCAGCTTCCGGCATGTGCTTACCTAAAGGGCTACATGCCCAAAATCATTGATACGTGTTTCTATTTAATTAAACTTCGTATATTTATTAATTCCTGCAAAATTGGACCATTTAGTATTAATATTAACACATTTTTCCGCATTGTTTACAGATTTTGCTATGCGTTTTAGCATTTCTCTCTCGGAATCGCACCAAGATGACGTCACGCAAAAACTACGCTCTAAAATCCTCTCTTATGACCATTTTGAATCCTTGACGAAACTCGGCAGGCATCTAGGGTTTAAATCTCCCAACTTGTCAAGGTCATTAAAGAAAGAAGACCCCAAAAAGCGCAGAATATACATAATTCTTGGAACTTCTGCAGCATCTATGGTAAGGCACTCCGAGACGTTCTGCATGTCTGCCTATAAGGCAGTGACCCATTACAGCACCGATTGTATGAGATACATCCTCCCTCTTTAGAGAGTATAGACTTCGAGACCTTTTTCGATCCCACCTAGGCCAAGTTTACCTAGAAATTCGACAGGTCGCTTTTTGCATCCATCTCTCGCGCGAGCATAGATAAATTCACTTAAAAGCAGCTTGCAAGTGGTGAAGGGCATACCAATGCGTTCTTTATCCGGAAGAATCTGCTCGGACCCCCCTCGTAGGGTTCGTCCGCCATACAGTTGCCCTCCAAATCCCTATGACCGGGAACCCAAATGAGGTTTAGACTGTTCTGCTTAGGCATCTCTTGCAGATATCGGTGGCAGTCCAGCACAATTTTTGATTTAGTTGTGACGGATCTCACTTCTTTAATTGCTGCCTGGCTGTCACTAAAGATGAACACGTCCTTACCTTTTAAATCAGTACGAAGTTTGTTTACAGCGTCCATTATAGCTGAGACCTCAGCCTGGAAGACACTACAGTAGTCCGGTAGCCGAAATGAACGGCTCAGGTCCGGCTTCGCGAAAAAACCCCCCTTCCACTCCGCCGCTCATTTTTGAACCGTCTGTGGAAATAACTATACTACCGGGAGGAGTATAGTTTTCTTCCCATTCCTCCCTGCTTGGGATTTTCATGACAAAGTTTCTATCCGGAACCAGAGTTTCTAGACAACGGTCTGTACAGCCCGGATGAAAGCTATATTACTTCAGAATGCAGGAGTGATCCAGCAATCCCGATTTCCATTGCCCTGCCTCTCTTAACCAAAGTGCAGCAAGCGATACCATCTGCTGACCCTTTAGATCTAGTGGCGGAAGATCCAAAAACACATTTAAAGCACCATTTGGCGTTGTCCGGATTGCTAGGCTAATGCAGATCATACTGATCCATACTATAATTCCATAAAGGAGAATCGGTCTGACCATCGATGTGTAGATCCAGCAGCATATACTCGGCCTCAAACCCCGTTTCTTACCAATGGCCCTCTTGCACGAAAATAAGGCCAGAGACGCCTTTTCATATCGCTGGATTATGTTCTCCTTCCAGCTCAGTTTTTTTGTCGAAAATGACCCCTAAGAATTTTGCTTTATTCGTGAAGCTTAAAAGTCGCCCGTTTAGTTCAGGTGGAGTCAGTAGCTGTGTTCTGCTGTCTTCTCGTAAAGAGAACAAGTTCCAATTTCTCTGAATTGACGCATACACCACTGCGCGTGGACCATCTGGATACATCGCGAAGTGCCCTCTGCATCAATTCGCACGGAGTTTGCGGGAACTTCTTCTATACGCAATGGCAACGTCATCCGCATAAGCAACAACTTTGGCGGCTCCCCATTTCGTCTCCCGCAAGAGAGAGTTCACGGTTAAGTTCCAAAGGAGTGGCGAGAGCATGCCACCCCGTGGTGTACCCTATGTCACATATCTTGAAGCGGAGTTCTCTTCGACGTTTGGCGTGATCACCCTGCACAAGAGCCTTATAAACCCAACCAGAGAATTGTCTACCTCCAGTCCCCTCAAGGCCTGTATTATGGCCTCTGAACTTATATTGCTAAAAGCTCCCTCAATGTCTAGAAAGGCTACAAGACAATAGTCTTTGAAACTGAAGGATTTTTCAATAAAATTGACCAGGCTATGTAGCGCTGTCTCCGTGGACTTTCCCTTCATATAGGCATGTTGGTTTTTAGACAGTAGTCCGACTACCGATGGTGTAGGATAGGTAGTTACTAACTATCCTTTCTAGAGTTTTAAGCACAAAGGAAGAGAGTGTAATAGGTCTGAGATCCTTTTGATTTGTGTGTGAAGCTTTACCGGCTTTAGGAATAAACACCACGGAGACAGATCTTCATGCCGTTGGTATATAGTTTAGCTTAAAACAAGCCCTGAAGATGTTCATATCCGGCCCCGCCGCTTTATAGGGCTTAAAGATTTGTATAGCCCAAGCAATCCTCTCCCTTGTGACAGGCACATTTACTACCCCGCCCGAAGGAAGGTGTAAAGATCCCCCTGTTTGCGAACTCCCTGGGAAATGTGTGTCCAAGAGCAGTTCTACCGTCGTGGTCCAGGAAACATCCTCCTTCTGCAGAAACCCAATCTGGTTCGAGGATCTCGACATTATTTTACTTAATATGAAAGTATCGGAATTACCATCGACACTACCACATAAATCCCTCTAGGAAGACTTCTTGGCCTCCCGCGAAGCCTTCTTGTACTCTTGCAAAAACTGCTTATATCTTCGCCACTCAGATTCGAGACTCAGCCTTCTTGCATTGTTGAACTGCACCCTGCAGGCTTTCCGCCGTGCGTCCAACTCCCGAGGCCACCAGTTGGGTTTCCTCTTTCCCCTGGGTCTAGGGTCAGGACAAGCCTTAGCAAAGGCCTCTGAGTAAATCGGAGTAAAAGAGTTACCCCTGTTTTCCAACT